TGAGACCCAGTGTTCTTAACACACATGTACACACATCTCTTGTTATGTCCGTTTCACATCTGAACCTGTCAACCCTCTTTTAGGTGGCAAATGGGCAAGCATTATCCTATTATCACAACATATTGACTTATGAAGTTCATCTCTCGTGGGCATGACGGGGATGCGGGAATCATTCCGGCACAGTGTGAGCCACACTCTAATGAAGTCATTTATCTCTGATCTACAGCTCTGCACCTTACCTTCCAAATGAGCCAGTGCGAGTGAGACACAGTGGTCAAGAGTGCAGGATAAAACATGAGGAAATAATTCACAGTGGAAAACGTCACTTCAGAATGAAATGGGTCCTATACAATTATGTCCTGATTAAATGATATTAGAATAATTGCTCTAAGTGTGAGGCTATAAACGGGTTATAGTCAAATGAGTTTAAGTCACAGCAAGTAAATCTGGCCCAAGAGGCAGACGGTGGAAGGTTATTTTTAAGTACAAGGTGCATGACTTGGCTTCAGAGGCAAATTAATAGGCTATAGTGAGTTATTAATCTCCATTAATTCATCCTCCTGTAATTTTGCTCATTACACACATTCAGTTCTATCTAGTGGCCTTTTTTTCTCCTTATCCGAGAGGCTTTTGTGCATGATAAAGAGAGAGATGACTCTAGTAAATTTCAGTACTATCTTGTAAATCCTGTTCCCTCCGCATTCCTTTATGAATAATGCATACAGCGGAACTCTGACTTTTTCTGATATTACCTATAGCCAAAATGATTATGCAGAGTTGCCAAAATAAATAAATATTCAAAATATTATAAATGGACACCAGAGGCGCGGATAACTTGTGTGCATTTATCAGGGAATGAAACACTGAATGAACATTTCTTATCCCCCTTCTCCCATTAGATTTTTGTTCTCTGTGTGATTTGTGCGAATTAAAAACGTAATGCCTCAGCAGTTGTGTGCAGAATCATTTAAAATGTAATTACTCTGCAGTTGACGGTCGGCAAGGATGAAGGACAAATGACAGTATCATTGGAGCCAAATGCTCTAGGAGGGGCTGGTGGGAAGTTTGCATGTCAGCCTCGCTAACATGGGACTGAATGTACAATGCAGAATTTGGGATTACAGATGATTTGTGATTTGCAGTGCTTGAAGTGTGGAATAAGTGGGAAGTAAATGATGACAGCTATCTCTTTAAAATATCCATTCTTTTTAGAGGCAAAAAACATGCAATGCTTCCATATTCACAGTGTTGTCTGATATTTTCTCTTTTTGTTTTATTTGATGTGTGTATGTTGTCTTCTTACCTCATTGGATTTGACACAAACAAGCACTGCAGTTCTCCTAATATGACCTAACACATTTCCCTATAAGCCAATAAATACCTCTCACATACGTGTACAGTATTTGATGGAAGATACCCTTCTGCCACACACTAACTTATATATAAATACTTTACTTAAGATTTCCAGAACTATTTCTTTAGACTATCTTTGTTTTGCTCTGTAGCCAGTGCATTAATGTCCCGCTGTGAGTGAAGTTAAAGATGTGATTGGAGAGCACACGCTGGGGCCACTTGTCTACAGGATCCACACCTGATATGACTCTAATCGATTACCAATCTGCAGATGCGGTTTGACCCCAGACGCCTCTCGTCTTGCTAAACAATGCGATTGTTTTCCCACCTCAGATTGGGGACTCGTTTATCTACACACAGAAGAGCCATGTGCTCGTGCCACATGCTTTTACATACACCTGCACACACATATAGAGGTTTGATGTGTGCTGTTGCTGTCTATACAGTATGTGACTCGGGTATGATAAGCAAGTAATGAGATCACCTCACAGGTTCTCTCAGACAGCGTGTCAGCAGATTTAGTGAATGAGCTTCAGCTCTAGTTGGAAGTCCAGCTGATGCTGTCTGCGATCACAATTTGTGACTGTTGGAACAGTGGCTCATTAATGGTCTGGTCATAGACAAGAGGCAATTGGAGTGCACCTGATATTGTGGCATTTGAAAGCTATGTGGATATTCTGGACAGTGGACAGTCTTGTCTTCTGCTCACTTTCATAAACTTTTCCTAACTATTTATTATTATAAATAATATTTTTTACACCATTATTGCATTTGAAGATTATAGGTTCAGTTCCCAGGGAATGCATGGAGTGATGGAGGCCTCTCTCTTTACCAGAGTATGTAAATGGTTGACATCAATATCATGATTCTGAATTACAATTTTTGCAGCTTAGTTTCTATAAATGCCTGGGGATTTTTTTTCTATGTTGTGTAATTTCAGAACACAAGTGATGGTGATGCAAACTAAATCTTAGATTGGACCATACTGACAGGATTTGTCGCCGTTTGATTGGTCAGTTTAGACCCTGCCAAACTATCAACTCTTTATCTCTGAGTAGCATTATCACAGCCGCATGCTGACCACTGCAGAATGTGCAGTGACTGGCAGGTTATCCTATATACTGTGTGGGCATGTGTGCACTGGGTATGGGGGTGGAGGTCTCTGAGTTTTTCTCCAGGGATGTCCCTTCTATAGCAGAGCTCTTAGCTCTTCCCAGTGGGCATTGGTGAACCGTGGCATGGAGGTTAATCATATTGTCCCTTGACGTCTGTGCTGGTGCTCTGAGAGTGGAATGGAGGAGCATTTATGGCCTCTCCTGTGTGTGTTAGTGCTGCATGAGGGGGCCGGAGCAGCGCGTGGTCAGCACAGATTGCACTCTTATGGTGCTCGGGAGAGATTACACTGGAGGAAAGGTTGTGGGTAGAGGCAGAATTAGACAGAGCTGCATGATTTTGCCTGAAGCGAGGAGCGATTTGTTTTTTAAAGTTGGAGTGTTTGCTCTCTGTCTAAGATTGCTCCATCATGATGGAAAGACATGTTAACGGCACATAATGCAATTGTATGTCAGTAAGAATTTATCACATGATCATAGTGTTAAAGAAAAAGTTCACCCCAAAAATAAAATTTGATGAAAATGTACTGAAACTCAGGCCATCCAAGATGTAGATGGGTTTGTTTCTTCATTGAAAGTCTTGGAGAAATGTAGCATTACATCACTTGCTCACCAATGGATCCTCTGCAGTGAATGGGTGCCGTTAGAATGAGAGTTCAAACAGCTGATAAAAACATCACAATAATCCAATTCTGATGCCACTGCAGAGGATCCATTGGTGAACAAGTCATGTAATGCTAAATGTCTGCAAATCTGTCCTCAGGGTGAGTACATTTTCAGCTAATTTTCATTTTTAAACTAAACTATTAATTTAATAGATTTAATCTTTTTATTTTGTTTTCTTTCTTTCTTGTTTTTTTTTTTTGTACTAAAAGAAGTAGTTATTGAATTTTTTCTTGACTTTATTCCTATTTTCGCATTTATTTTGACCCTTTTAGAATTAAAGGGGTCATATGACGTTGCTAAAAAAGAACATTATTTTATGTATTTGGTGTAATGAAATGTGTTTATGCGGTTTAAGTAAAAAAAAAACACATTATTTTCCACATACTGTACATTATTGTTTCTCCTCTATGCCCCGCCTTTCTGAAACGAAAATTTCGATTTTTACAAAGCTCATCGGTCTGAAAAGCAAGGTGTGCTCTGATTGGCCAGCTATCCAGTGCGTTGTGATTGGCCGAATACCTCAAGGATGTGACAGAAATGTTACGCCCCTTACCATATGATGCCATGTCCCGGCGCGACGAGACAAAACCAAAAAAACCCATTATAAACGAGGCATTTGTTGCATCCAGTGGGGACATAATTACTGATTATAATGACTTATACTGTCTTTTTACGCGTTGCATCACGCCGTGTAAACATAAAACCATGTCTGCATTTGTGATCAGAGAAACGACAAACAACAAGCGCTACTCTACACTAGGGCTGGTCTGAATACCATTTTTTTGAGCTTCGAAGATTCGGCAGTAATCAACACCGAATATTCGAAGCTTCGGAGGGAGGGGGCTGAACATATTCTTCTCT